TCAAATAATAATAACAACCAATGTCAATTTTGGTGGATGTGTATACAAGATCCAGCCCCAAAAGAATTTTTTGTTATATTCTACGCTAGTTACAATACAAGGATCTACTAAGTTTGTAGGGGTGTATGAAATACCTAGGAAGACTTGAAATAGACACAACTTTTATTATACTAATCAAATCAGAAAGTGAAAGATTGTTTGTCCGTCTGTACGTCTGTTTGCCTTATTTTTTTTTTTTTTTGTGCGACCTACAGGTCGCTATTTTTCAAATATTTTGCTTAAATTACGTCCACCGGCGTATTTTGACCCAAGCCTATTCAAAATGATCCGGATCCATTGTTTTCACCGCATCTCATGTAACGCTTTATACTGAAAAATCGTTATATCGATAACGGTCTTAAGCGAAGCTGTGGCCCGTAGCCCACTGTAGTGTTTTTACTGGTTTTAAAATAAATTAAGAAGATTTTATAAAATTTTTGGTCAAAGATTTCTTTGTAGTGTTACCACTTAAAAATTAGCTAAAAGAAATCAAGCTACCACAAAACTTATACCTACATAAGTCATCTTGCAGGTAAATGATTTTTAGTGTTTTCCCGTTACCTACGATATCTTGTTAAAATAATTCTTCCTTTCACGTAACATTTCCAAGCAATGCGGTAACTTTCTCCTACCTGGTTTCGAATAGGATTGCAATCTTCAATGAGACTAATTGTTTTCCTTTCAGTTCGAAGTTTTTTTGATTTTTCGCGTAAACCAAAGCTCGTTCATCTTTAGCCTAATGAATTCAAATATACTGCTTCTTAGCAATTAGGTGTTAATTGAACGCAAGAACGCAAAAAAAAAAAAAAAATTTTATTTATTTATAAAAACAAAAACAAATCTTAACATAAAAGTTGATTTCAAATTTCATGTAAAAAAATATGTTCAGTTTTATAATAAATACATATATATATATAAAATAATTGTTTTACTTTTAATCTCTGCTCACAATAGTACACATAAATACACATAATACCTAACAATGCATATGCCATAGATAAGAAATGCCCGATTGCTTTACAATTAACTAATGGCACTGCGGTGCTTATCGTCTATATAAAATTTTACAAATTTCACCCTAATCTGTTTATTATTATATATGTTATACATGGGTGCATGCCTTTGTGAAGCATTTGTTGTTATTTATAGTATGTTCATATGCGCGTTTTCCTCTCTCTTGTCGCTTGCAAAGCAAAAGGTGGTGAGTTTCGTCGAACCAAACTAGCGCACAACAAACAAATCTTCAAACATACTCATACATAGCAATGGACTGACAGAGAAGAATGCCTTTACACTTCGTGTGAAATTATATGCTATTGCTTTCAACTGGCCTGTGATTGGTTGTTCGGCTATATGAAGGCGGTAACTTTGACTTGTGAACGATTTTATATGATTTTCCTTTCTTGTTGCTGTTTATTCCAATTTTTTTTTTTTTTTTTTTTTTTTTTTTTTTTTTTGCTATTCAATTAAATGATTTCTATGAATGAATAAAATGTACAATTAAAACATATGCACATTTCAAAGATAATAAATAAAGACACATTCACATACATTGAAGGAATGGAAAAGATCGCACAATTCTCTATTTTTATTTTATTTTATTTCCTAAGCGAATATATATTGGGATCGAAATCCTTGCTTTCTCCGAGCTTGGAATAGAAATCACCGCGAATCTGTTTATTACCTTTAGCTTTCCTTAGACCTTACAGGGGCATTAATAGGAAAATTCAGTATTACGTTTTCCACACGTAGCCAGCCATCAGAAGCGCTTATAAAGGAAAAAAATCGCGCAATAACAAACTAAAATATATCAAGTTTCCAATGCGTTTCTAAATACAAACAAATATATACAGTTTTCTTCATTCATTCAATACAAAGCAAATTTATTCGTAAAATATCATAAAATGAACATTTGAGTTTTTCATTGCTAATGGGTGTACGACGACATGCACTAATAGGACTCTTGCCATAACTTATGGAATAAGTATTATGTCTTTCATTTATTTCGTAGACACTGTAGAAGAAGAAGGTTAAGCGTCGTTTTGAAAGTTTTTGATTATGATTATTTGGGATTTCAATATCTTCGCTCCAGAAATATAAAGCAGAAGAACGGATCAACGTCTTCGAATAATATAAATGCATTATGTGTTCAAATCAAAAAGCGATCATTTTTTCTTCGTTTTTATTTCCATGAATAATAATCGAAATAATTAACGAAATGGAGAAAATTTTTTACGTGGAAATTAAATCATTTCGTAGATGAACGACCCGAACATAATAATTTAAAAAAAACTATGAAATCTAAACAACTATTACAAGATAGTGTTTGAAATTTGCAAATACGGATGTATGATTGAATGCATGATTTAAATAAATGAAACTAATGTACAATACTCGTCGAAAAACGTTATCAATAACGCTGAACTGGATGTAAATCAATCAGAAATTTCATAACTAAGACAAATCTTTTTATGAATTTTTACTTATTTTTTTACAACCGACAATCAGTTTTACTTAATGATTTGATGGCGTAAGCTATTTTAAGGATTTTGAACATTTATCGCTTATCGCCAGCTTTCGAATTGAACAATATGACAGAGTTCACTTAGCAATTAGTTACCGTTAGGATTACTGTTGCAACGTCAAGCTCCTCTCTAACACATTTGAAAACGAACAAAACAGTCTTGAGAGTAGTAATGAACACGAAAGTCATATTACCTTACAGATTTCTGATATCATGGTGCGTGCGCGACTGCAACTTAATTAAGCGTAGGAATTTTATATATTTTCACCGCTAACAGCATCACTTACACGAAATTTCCGAAAGTAGTGTACATAACCTGAAAGTCATTTTAATAACATTTTTTAGAAATCTTTTTTTAATGAAAAAAAAAATTTTTTAATAAATAAACGCATCCCTCGTCTTATCGAAATTATTTGAACTATTGCACCACAAGCAACATATATTGCATCGATTCGAAAACATTTCAAATTATCACGGAATATATACATAAGATTTTCCAATCACCTGATCTAGTCTTATCGCTTTGATAATTCCTGTATCTATATATACTGAGAATAAACAGAATAGCAAGGACTTACGTGGAAATTAAAATGAATTCAACTATTTCCGATTAAATTCCATAAATCAAATTTGAAATTGAACTTGGTCCTATCGTAAGCATAATAAATATAAAAAAAAATATCGAAACTCAACTTTAGTAACTTGTGACCTCATTAAGAAAATTGGTCTAAAATCTTAGGCATAAAATATCAGTGAAAAGCATTTTTTATATTCCATCTCACGATCCGTTATACTTTCACAATTACTTGAGCATTTTATATGCAGCGATTCTCATACTATTTAACATTTACCAACGAATAGCCCCTACATGTGACGGATATAACAAAACTATATATAAAAGCGGAGGGAAACCAATAAAAAATAACACCTACTTATTTACAGTACTTGAGATATTCTCTGGTGCGAATAGATCTACGCGCAATGTTTACAAATGCTTGTATAACAAATTTAATGACATGTTCAACATAATGCAGATCGTATATTGTATTAAAAGAGACTACATGTATAGGGTAAATATGTTACGTTCGTGTTTATAGTATGTATTGCAAAGGTTTAGTCATTGTACCAAAGTGCAGAGTAGAATCATACGGCAACAGAAAAAGTGTCAGTTGTGCAAAATACAATAACAAGAACAGCAGCAAAACGCCCGCCAAACGCTCAGATCAATTAGTAATAGAGAACGCGTGCTACTGCTATACTAAGTATTCATAAACTCACTCGTACATATATATATACTTACTGCACGCTAGCACACCCATACATTTATATGCCAGAAAAATAACTGCGCTGAACTGAACTGATCCGTACAGGGCTTTTATAAAACTCTTGTCTGCTTCGTTAATGCTTTGTGACTGTGAGGTTCTGACCCTTTTAGAATAGTTAAAGGATAAGAGAAAACCAGCAACACACAAAAACAGTTATATATATATATATATATATATATATATACTTTTATATATACCTCTATACATACATATATATATATATATATATATATATATATAAATATGCGTGAAGTAATCTATGAGGAAAAGACAAAATCTTGAAAAGTAAGAGAATACTTATGCTCTCCTTCTCAAACCTCTCTACTGATACGGAAAGCAAGTATGCATACAAACGCATATGTTAAAAACGCTCTCAAATATAAGGGTGCACTCCTCTTCATGGCAGAAAAGGTAACATACGGTGATAATAACAACAACAGTTAGTAAAGGTTTGAGCCCGTTTTGATTCGTATTCTGTTTCTTTCTTCCAATTCGCTTAACCTTCGTTTTCTACTCGTCGTTGCCGGCGTTGATACTTGGTTAACGTATATATGTGTTTGAGCGTGACTGTGTTAACACTGGTTGTTTGTTATTACTGTTGCTGTTAGGCTTTGGTTTTATGTGGTTCTCAGTTTTTTTAGTTTTCTTTTTTTATTTTTGTATTATTTTTTTCTTTTTTTTTTGTATTTTCATTTTACTTTTTTTTATTTATTTATTTATTTATTTTTTTTTTTTTTGTGATTATTGCGGACAATTTTGTTTAGAGTGTTTTATTTTACCGTGTGCATCATACTGGACTCTTTTCAGAATTTAGCCATCGATAAAAGATTCAGTCAGGTGCCAAGCACCAAACAGTACAGACGTTTTGCTCTTAAGAAAATTAAAACTGTCGACTTCTAATGTGTTGTGCTATTAAATATTAACGAAACGTCTTAAAATAAACAATGTATAGTGTGTTCGTGAAAGATATATATATATATATATATATATACGAATTTCTATTAAAAAACATACATAAATATATATAAATATTTTTATTTTGATTTTTCAAAATGTTAGTTCAAATTGAAAGAAAGTAACTTAAACGATTGCAACACTTGAAGTTTTCTAAAGCATTACACAAAAGCTCTTAACAAATAACAGAAAAGAGAAAAGAACAGAAAAATGAATCACTTATCACCACCCCCTTCACCGCACTCTCAATCCGCGCAGTTATCTAATTTCGCTAATCCCGCCCTACATATGAATTTAGCTAATTCGAAAAATTGGATACAAAGAGCCTCAACATTCAACAATGTAATGGCTACAGCCGCAACCCAAAAGCTTAATCCAAGAGGTAGAATTCAATCAATTCATAACATTAGACAATATCAATAAAATAATTAAATTAGAAAAATATTAATTCGATAAATTCATTAAAATCATTAAAATCACTTTTTCCATATACTTATTTTTGTTGTAGATCTGCCGCCTTTCCTCTACAATCCTTTTTTATACTCTAGCGCATTATTATGGCCACAGTTTCTACTTTCTTCGGCCTCCGCTCTGAATTCGCCATATACCCCAATAACACCAAAATCTCCGGCACCGAATTTACATAATCGCGATTATACTTTGACGCCGGAAAAAGAAGAATTATTAGCTACCGGCCAGGCGGATAGTTCTAGTGACACAGAGCAGCCCTTAAATCTATCTATTAAACGTACACACACCAAAGTTGAAAGCCCCACCGTAAATTACCTTATAGATGGTCAAATAAATAAATTCGAGAGCTTATCTCCACAGTCGTTAAGAGCTGTAGATTTAAAAATCACTGCAAGCAGCCCGCAAGAAGATGAAGAAGATGACGTTAAATACTCTTCAACCAAGCGACGATTGCAAGGATCATTAATTTGGTCACCGGCAAGTATGTGTGAGAAATCTTCTAGATATTCTGGTATACAAAAAGATGTAGAAGACTGCGAACCTGAAATGGATCCAATTGCACGGAAATTTAAATACGAGCGCCGTAGCAGCTTTGGTAGACAACAAATGCAGGATAATAATCTTTTATCGCCATTAACCTCATCGACGGGTCCCGCAACATATCCGCGTGTGATTAATAAAAATAGTTTCGATTTAGAAACAGCTCAACAACAAATCACTGCTCATCGTCAAGCTTTTATGGCCGGTTTAACCGGCAACAATCTTGAATTATTGACACAACACTTAAAAGCTCAAACGCAAAGAGAACTGGAACTTTTGCGACAACAACGTGCCGATATGTTTATGCAGCAGACAATTGATAAAAATGTTGTTTCGAAGGAAATTCAATTAACGGAAGACCCCTACAAACCGGATATTAATTTACATCGTCATCATCACCATCATCATCATCATCATCTCTCTTCATTTGTAAACGAACAAACGCAGCAGTCTCACCAAAAGCAACAGCAACACCAGCAACACCACCAGCAGCAGCAGCAGCAGCAGCAGCAACAGCAGCAGCCGCAACAGCATCCTGACTCAACGGCAGTTATAGTAAATGCAGCAGATGTACGTTCCCCAATGTATCATGATAGCGATGGCTGTGTCAGTGGTATTGGTAATGGTGCTAGTGTTGGCGGCAATGCCAGTAGTAATGTCACTAATAACGCTGAAAAACGTCCAGCTAGAAATTTTCAGGTAAATAATAATACATTTACATGATTCTCAGAATAAAAAAAAAAATTCATATGCAAGTAGTTTTCACTTAACTCAGCAAAGCGTACATTTTCATATAAATATATTGATATATACATATATGTTATATATGTTTTGCTTAGTTATTCGAAAATAAGTCATTCTTAACACATTCGCTTCATTGGCTGATTGCATTAATTATTTGAAGAAATTCGGATAAAATGAAATTCAATGTCTTGTTGACTAACGACAGTCAATTTTTATTCTGATGAAGATTCATATAACATAATGCGTCGCATGTGCCAATGAAATCTTTTTTCTTTCGTTGATAATGAAATGATTAGCAGAAATTAAATCAATTATTTTCAATTAAAAAAGAAAAATTTAATATAAATCAAATATTTAAACATTCTAAGGCAATTAACAGAAGGGCGTTTTTCGCCTAAAAATATAAATTAGAAAGGTGTTGAAATAAACGCAAAAGCAGCAGTAATTTTACAGATTCTTTTCTTCCTGCATCCTGCAATATACTGCAAAACAATCGTATAGCGCTTTGTCTTTAATTTGCAAGTCAAAGGCAACTTTTGCATTTTATCGCTTTGCTAACATATTGCGTTATTGTTTCGTTCGTCGATTTTCATCTGACATCTCCCTCCGGAGGTGTGCACGTGTAAAGAATTTCATTTCTGATATAAAGTCCATACATCATACACCCAATAAAATATATTTACTTTTCATCAACCGGAAATGTCAAATGCAATGCAATGCAATTTCCTCACCATTTCTTTGCCCATAAATTTACGCTTTCGCAAAATTCAACTCAAAATCGATCAAATTGATATATAAATCTTTTCTATTCGTTATCATGCATGAACGTTGAATATGAACGAATAATTAAAAAATTTGTAAATATTTTCGTTTATAATCGATAAACTCATGCTCAAGCTAGTAACAAACTGAATAAACTGGTATTCGGGTTTAATATTTATGCGGGACAAGTGAATGGCTTTGTAACGCCCGTTAGCCCGCGTGCTTTACAAACCGAAAGATATGCCTATTTTTACGGTAAATTTAAATAAATACGCGGATGTACTTTTTAAGCTTCAACGTAGACGCTTGCATATGAATGCAAAATTCCGCAGTGTTGGGTTACGCGGACCACTTCTCAGAGATAAAAGGGTAGTATTGAGTTTCTTTGCCTGAGTGCAAGCTAATGTCTACCCAAGCCCGCAAGCACTCAAAAACCCTTGGAAGAAATCTTACCATCTGTCAAGAAGACGTGTGATACCTGCGGCGTCGTTCAATTATTTAATAAAACAAAAAAGGCAACATATATATGGATTATCCATACAATGCCCCCCCCACAGCTGTCCCCACAACCATAACTAAAATATCGACGTAGCCCAGATTAAACTATGACTTTGGCTCAGCCACTAATATCATAGGTATAACAATCAAAAAAAAAGTCTTCCTTGACCTTTTATGTGAAAAATTCTGAATCGCCGGGATATACCCGTACAACTGGAATAAATTATACTTACTTTATAGCAACAGGATAAAAGTGTTGAGCGGTTTGCCTAACAGAGAATTTTTCGTTTGTAGATCACGCCGCCGTAACTTTAATGCTTAAGTATAGATGCAATTTTGCAACATCAATACCCAATTATTAGATGTCCTCCAAGGCCACAAAAGCTCGTTACGAATAACGCGAAAATACATATCTGAGTACTTTTACATGCAAATGTGTACTTTAAAATTTGTATTACCTTTTTTTGCGTATTTTTTTTTTTTTTTTTTATATATATTTTTATATTTGTGTTGTTAGATGTCATGTGTGCCTAAGCAACATAATATAGTTTTGAATTTGCTATCATTTGATACAATACCAAGTACGTGATCCCTTTTATTGCAATTACAAATATTGATGTATTGAATAAAGCAGTAAATTCGAAGCGCGTGCTGGTATTTATGTTCATGGTTTTAACATTTCTACGATTTTATAACATAATTTAATTGCTAGAACGTTAGCTGTTTAGGTTACTTCTACATGAATGCTATTGTTTGTTGTGTTTTATAGCTAAATGAACATGACTATGTTGACTAGGAGATGAAAAAAGCAAAAAAGTAAAAAAGCAAAAAAAAAAAAAAAAAAAAAACCGAACGAATCGACAATAAACTCAAAACAGGGGATAAATATAGTTATTAATGTATAATTTTTTTGTAATCAATTCTTGCATTGTCATAAAAAAAAGGAACGATATTAATTTAATTAAATAGAAAAAAAAAAAAATCACGCAATTAGTTAATCAATTTTTTACCTCTCTACATGCATTGCAAGGAAGCATAAAATTTCAGTTTCTCTTTATACCTGTTAATGAATTGATCTCTGTAGTATTTATAAAATCCTGTCGTGTGCTCGAGAGCTGAGTTACAAAGTCGCAGGCGTAATGACTCTTAAAATGAATATCGTTTTCGTTTTTCACACATACTCCTTAAAAATTGTTTCAGAAATTGTGGCACATGGTCTTACGTGTGTGCGAACGTTATTTCAAAGGCATGCAACGTGATATGGTTGAAAGGTTTCTCCCCTAAAACATCTTTCAGAACGCTCGTGTGCATAGCAGACTAACCGAAAAATGAAAAAAAAAGAAAAAAAAAAAAAAAAAACAGATGGCCAAAATGTTCAGTTATCAACAATAAAAGAAGAAGAAGAAAAAAAGTTCTTCTGATAAAAAAGCATTTAACTTTTTCTTAACAGTGACTTTCCTTTTCGTTACCAGCAAAAAGTGCATATGCATATGGTGCATTGTGGTAAGTGGGTGGTCCAAGCATAAAAAAAAAAAAAAAAAAAAAAAAAAAAATTAAAAGCACCTGTCCAACTCTTCAGACAGCATCAAGCAGCCGTCGCATTTAATTTGCGATTTTTTTTTTTAGGTCAAAATTTTAAAAAAACTTTTATGAAAAGGTAAAGCAAATATAATAGAAAAAGATTAAATCAAGTGTAGGCGACAACCAACGTAAATTTTTACATGTACTATAAATATTATATAAATGTAATATTAGAGGAAAATCCCTTTTATCCCACCATGTTGCTAGACAAAATCAAAGCTCTTTACGTTTCTCTGGAAGCGATCAATTGTAACTGAATTAATCATTTACTAGACTTTCTTGCATCGTCTCAGATGTCGAACTTGGTCGCAATAAGTAATCACAAAACGCATCTTATGTATGACTGAATCCAAATTTTTATTAGACCTCCCTGGCTTGTCGACTTACTACAACTTACTTGCAACACAGAGAAAAGATCCATTTGCTTAATGGTTACAGTCGATTGCATCGCATGTACTGAATATAGTAAATATAATGCAAATCACATTTTTATAAGTAATTCATAGATATTTTTTGCTAATGTTGCGTTGAAAAAGAACATATATTATATACTTAATATAACAACGCGTATTGATATGTGTTCGCAATACTGGTATATGATAAAATTAACCTTTCAACTCTATTGAACATAAAAGTATATAAACTATGACTGAGTTGAAATGCAAAGATAAATTTCTTAAACTACACATAAGTTTAGAATACGGCAGGACTTCTACTACTACTTCTAAAAGCCTTTACTTTCAAATCAAATAAGTGGTCATTTTACTGATTTTGTTACGACTTATTTTGGAGAGAAAACCTTAACGATTATCAATGGCTTTGTTCTTTTCTATGCATAAGAATGTTGAAAATCATCAAATTGGCTCGTTATTGCAAGCGAAACATGCTACGCAGCCATCGTTTTTATGGCTAATCCTTAATCATATTTATTGGTTTGTTTTAGTTTCGTTTAAAGATTACATATAAGTAAACATCAAAACATGTTAATGTCCTTAACGAGTGTACATATATATTTATATATATCGGAGACTCTATATGGTATGCATATTCTTCGTCAGCAGCGGCAATAGCAAAACCGATTTAGTCTTAACTGTTTGCCTGTCCGTCTGTCACTGAAATTATGATTACGATATTAAAACTATGATTGCGAAAAAATGTACTCTCATATTATTTTCTTTTTTTTTTGATCATTTCAATCAGATTAACTTTGAAAATCAGCCAAACATGTGTCAAGTTTCGCTTATAATCACCAAAGAAAACTGTAATAAATACTAAGCCGTAACATCAAATTTGCTCTTAAAAAACTAATTAACTAAAGTTTAAAAGTCAGATAATTCGGACCAGCAGCTTACACGGACACACACACACACACACACACACACACACACACACACACACACACACTTACTAAAAAAATGATATCAAAGTGAAAGGCAGAGCATTCCAATAGGCTAAAAAGCCTAAAAATTATTTTATTTATTTTCATATTAACGAGAAATCGAGAGCTAAATAAACTTGTTCGTCTTTATTACCGTACAATATAACACGTTTAACGGATAGCTCAATATTTCTCTTCAGCATTTGTTTTTTCCTTTCATCCTATATAAAAAGCTCTTATGCCAATGAAATTTTATAGAGAAAAAGAAATGTGTATTAATGATTTTCTACAAGATTGTGTTTTTTTTTTTCTTTTTTTTAATCCCAAGCATAAAATTAAAACAAAAACTTTTTGTAAAGTTTACAAAAATAAATTAAACAATCACTAAAAACTTATCACGCTACTGGATATATTGGTCTTATTGTCAAAAAGCCTAATATTTATTTTCCTCTCAAAAAAAAAAAAAAAAAAAAAAAAAAAAAAAAACTCTCAAACACTGACTTGCTTCCCCAATACTTTCAAGCACAACAATAGAATTTTCAATTCATCTTTCGTTACGTTCTGAGGGAAATCTTTAGCTTATCTGCATTGGACGGTAAGTGTAGTGTAGTAAGGAATTGCAGAACGCATTGTCTCCATCATATAATGAGTTTGCTGTATTTATGGTTTATCCCTATCAAACACGAATTATCAAAATTTCGTTCCACGAAATCCTAGTCTATCTAAATAAAATGGCCCTGAGCGCATTTGCATGTTTGTATAGGGTGAAATCCCTAGGTACAGTTTAATCAAATGCGTCCGTTTTGACTTGAATCTAATTTACGTGGATTTAAAACAGATCTATCGTTCCACCTTGGGACAATAACGTTATCAAATTTGCCATTATTAAGACCGGCAAACGGCGAGCAAGTTTGATGGTCGATGAAAAACTTACACGTTCGAGACGAAAATGTTGAATTAATTTTATCAAAAAAAAAATAATAAAAATTTTATGAGCAAATGATTCTGATCAAACCCTATTTGAGAGGGGTCTCTAAGAGACTTTCGCGACTCTCTTATCTCCTTATAATTTTATTTTTCTATTTTGCAAAAGTTTATAAAAGCAACTGAAAAATTCACTTAATAAAACAGATAGCTGGAGTTTGTAAGCGTTTGTCAGGAATCCGAAATAAATGAGTAATAACTGTGTACCGAAAAGCCAAGCGCAAGCTGTTCTCTGATTTTCTAGCTCATCGTTCATCGTTTATCGTTTAGTCATCATCTGAAATACGCATATATTCGCACTTTATTGTTCAACAATACCGCCTAATTATTTATAGAATATATTAAGACATAAACGATTCATGTTGACACGAGTGGATACCCAATCAGTAAACAAATATCATACAATAAAAAGAATAGTACACAATAGGATCTTCGAATTACAACTAAAACATTAAGAAAGAGAAATGAAAAGAACACTGACAGAGACTTAAGTCGATAGGCACCTTATCGCCCCCATATGGATAGACTATTTTTAAAGTCAAGTAAAAATAAATGAAAATTATTCAAAAAGTTCATGCCAGATATGATTCTTAAGCCGTATCAATAATTTTGAATGCGTCTTACACTCGTGGCTAATAAAAAATATATTAAAAAAATTACAAAATGTTTGTGATATTGTTGCAACAATGGTAGATGACTAATGATAGCCGGCTAATGCCAAAGTGCTTTCTATCAGTTTTCTTTAATCGTTATTTCTGTTTCATGCTGCAACTTGTACGTCGGGCTATATGTAGAGATGTACACCATATATATATATATATATGTAGAGAGAGAGAGGTTTTTGAAGAGGTTTCCCAAAAAAAGTGAAAAACTTAATACATCCCGTCATCGTAGATATGAAAAGGTAAATAGAAAATCCGTCAACAACACTTGTGTCATCACCTTAGACAGGCATAGGGAAAAACAGCGAAAAAAAATATATGTTTATGATCAACACGTACATATACTGCAAACATTTGTGATATATAGGTGATGTACTCATATACACAATGCCTCTCTCTCTCTCTCTCTCTCTCTCTTTATTTCTTTATTTATTTCTTTCTTTCTTTCTTTCTCTTTATCTCTATCTCTATCTCCATCTCTATCTATAACTCTATATCTCTCTTTCAATCTTCGTACAATTAACCATATTTGTCTTTACCGCATAAATAGATAGATTATCATCCATTTAGATTTGAAAACAATACACTTTTCTTACAAACTTGTAACAAACTGTGTAAATAATCAATACTTGGTGTTCAAAAGATTTCTGTGTATTAATAATGTCTGCAATAATTCATACATACACCTCACTAAATACCTTGTATTTAGATTTTAATAATAATAGAAGATATAATGCGACAAAAATACACACTTATCTTTTCTTTTTTTTTTTTTTTTCTTTTTTTTGTTTCGAAATTGAATTTAGATCTAAAAAGTTGTTAGTTATTCAGCTGTGTTTAAAGAATCTACTCAATGAATAATGTGTCAACTTTTATACTGAAATTGATAAATTTAGAAATTTCTCTTTCTCTCTCTCTCTCTCTATCTCTCTCTCTCTCACACACACAAGTATTTATATAATACATTCCTGTATGCTTGCATACATGAAAAGATTTGAGGTTATATCAAATATTTATTTAGTTGGATTTTAAATAGTTTTGAAATAATTGAAAATATTAGGGATATTTCGTTTTAATAAAACTTGATTCGTATCTTGCTTTTTTGGAATACAAAAATTACTTACTAACGTTGGAAATTTCTTTCTGCCAATGAAACAAATGGAAACTTTGATTTTGCATATATATATGTTAAATGAAAATCTTTATTATATTATGTGAATTTCTTTTCAGTGTAAACAATGTGGCAAAACATTTAAACGTTCTTCAACTTTATCCACACACTTACTAATACATAGTGACACGCGGCCTTATCCTTGTCAGTATTGCGGCAAACGTTTTCATCAGAAATCCGATATGAAAAAACACACATATATACATACAGGTAATTAATATTTATTTATTTTTATTATTCTTTATATAAAATGAAAATAATTGAAACCCTACAAAATTGTACGTATATGGAAACGTTTTGGGGGGCCTTAAAAAAAGAGGGTTGCTTGCATAGATATAGATATATATATATATGCTAGTATTATCATAACAATCTCAGAGCAATTTGGCAAACAAAGTGTTATTTTCATAACTCTAAGTAGGGATAGTTAAGTAAAGCAAAAAATAATAGTCGGGGGATTGAACGGGGAAACGGTTGAAAATACATATCGAAACCAGTTGAGCTGTCAATTGTCCACTTCAGGTTAGAACGGGATATCTTAAACTAAGCAATATCGTAGTGTTTGTCACAGATAAAAACACCATAATCGAGAAACGAGAACCATTAATCCATTATCCTATCCACAACCTCTACTATAACTAATAAAATTCTTCTTCTTTTTGCGTGGTAAAATACCAAACGTGGAGTGATGCTATTCAAGTTCAGCAAAACTAATTTTCTTTGTCAAAGCTATCTTATCGTTCACATAGTTTTGTCATAAAATATTAAAATCTAGGCTTTTTTGTCATGTAAAGGGCTTACTTTTTACCAGAACGATTATTTGAGGTGTATTCCAGAAAATAGATTCGCGTCATCGGATCTCTTTATAGTTGAGCTCAAATTAAACTCAAATTAATTTTATTAACCAATTTTCTAACTTACTATATAAACGATTTCGAAGGCTTAGTTTAAAAGAATTCAAAAAATTACTTAAAAATGTTTTGCCGAGAAATTCTGAAAATCGTAAATTTTTTCAAATCTTTGTCCGAGCTATGCCAATATATTATGAAAAGTAGCCGTAACAATGATCTCATTATATACATTTTCAATGGCCTTTGTTTTCGACACCAAATATGTGACAATAAATATTTCATTAAAATATTAGAAGAATCACAGACAGACAGCCGGGCAATTATTTCAAGAAATGATTCTGAATCGATTGATATAAGAATCGGTTGCATTGTCGATCCTACATACGTCTTGATAAGTCGTTGCTCTTCTTAGTCCTTCTGTTCGCAAAATTTGTTCAAAATTTTTTTTGATTCATCCATCCTAGATGGATGGAAAGTTAAGTTTAAGCCGATCGACAACGATTATAAGTCCAAGGGAATTTATTCCAAACTAAATTTTTCATTACAATAATGACGTCATTTTAAAAACTCTAATTGACGGTAGTCTAGAAGATGCGTACGCCTTTCGTTGCAGTTTTGCAAGAAGCTCAACTCGTGTGTAAGAACATTCGCTTGCTTGTTTATCCTTTCGCTGACAACAAAAGTTGTTTTTTTTTTTGCAAATTACGCTGCAGCTTGAATAGAGACAAGTACGCGAAAGTTCTTTTCGATATTCGACAATTGTCGTTTATATCTTATTACGAACAGGAGTTTGTCATTTTTTTTTTTTTTTTTGTTTTTAGGACAAATAATTCTTCTTATATTGTTCATGCAAAGTAGAATACACCACCGTTTTATATAAAATATATTTTAACCACTAAAAGCATACTTTCCGTTATTAAATTGAAATTGGGATTTGTGGTTTAAATCTCAAAAGGCAACTCATTACAAATTGCTCTATAAGTGGAAACATTTAAATTAATGTCAGGGAAATTAGAGTTTTGTCGCTTTAAATCAAATGTGACGTGACTAAAGGCAATAAAAAATAAAAACAAATTTTTTTTTGTACTAAATTATGAAATCACTAGAAAGCACTTGTGTATAGGCTTCAATGATTTACCTCAAAACGTTATCTGATTTAATTAAACTAATTGAGTATAGTTAAGGACAACAAAAATACATCAACTTATGTACGAATAAAATAAATATATATTAATAAATGAATATATATATGTATGTATATATATGAATATATCTAAGCATTTTTTAATTTTTATTTATTTATTTTTTTATTTTTGTTTTTTTTTTTTTTTTCGTTAAAGGTGAAAAACCCCATAAATGCACCGTGTGCCTGAAAGCATTTAGTCAAAGTTCAAATCTTATTACGCATATGCGTAAACATACCGGTTACAAACCGTTCGGCTGTGGATTATGTGATCAATCGTTTCAACGCAAGGTCGATTTACGGCGTCATCGCGAAAGTCGTCACGAAGAGCAGATGACGACAACAGCATTGGTTAAAATGGAAGTAAGCAGCAGTTGTTAAAAGACTTTTTTCTGTTTTACTATCTCCAGCAGGCCAGCAAGCAAGCAAGCAAGGAAGCAAGGAAGCAAGTAAGCAAGCCAGCAAGCGGAGATATTCAATTAATATAAGTGTGTATTTAAATCCCAGTTGATATATATTAAAGCTAAGTCTCTCAAAGCCAAAGTTTATATAGGCTCTATTTTTCTACTTCGTTTTTTTTTTTTTTTTTTTTTATTTTTACATAAATTTTTAAAAATGTTAAGTATAATATTTAGTTTTATATATATATATATATATATATATATATATATGTAGACGCATGTAAACGGTAACTAACGGTAAACGAAATGGAAACAGACGACTTGCAATTATTTGCAATCCACGCCCCACCACCATCTCTGACACAAAATTGTATTTCTACGATGGAACGATATGGCATTTATGAAGAATGTATGTAGGACTAAGACAGACAGATACGAAAGAGATAAAAAATCGTCTGCTTGGGCATGTATTTGTGAAGACATAATTGCAGCTAAAGGTCTTAATAGTTGCACTGAGATACTACAAGGACGTGTCCATATCACGCTTTTGTTTCGAAACACGTTACCGCGCATCAAACATTCTCCCAATGTAGGTCCGAGCCAAATTTAGCGTAACAGACTGAACAGAAATCTGTTGGTTCTTCGCTTCGGTTCAAGTGTATCGTTTATTATATCACCGCGAAGTTATATTAACGTTTGTAAAACGCATAGCAAACATTACTTGAAAGAAGGAAGAGCAGGGAATAACTCCCGGCACGGATCATTTCTAGATCGAACCTAATACCGTCCTTAATTATTAATTATTTTTAAATTTACTGTATTTTCTTTTTTTAGTTAATTTATTTATAATCTTAAAATTTATTGAATATATTCTTTTTTTTTGTTTTTTTTTTTTTTTGTTTGTGTAATTTGGCAAAATTTCTTATTTAAACAAAAACGAAAACAAAATAACAGCTAAACGTACCAAAGAATATTTATTTTTACCTTAAAACACTTAACTATCTGTCTGTAGGTATATGTCATATTTTCATAATTTTTCATGTACTGAAGGTTATTAGAAAAGAAATTGATTTTAATTTATTTTTTTATTTCACTTAAGTTTCCTTCTTCTTTATAAGCCATTTCCTTAATTAGGATTCTATTTGATGCTTTTATTTATATATTTATAATTTAATTTTATAATCGATAATGAAATTTTTTTTTTTTTTTTTTTTTTTTTTTTTTTTTTTTTTTTTT